ATTGTCCAAAGTCAAATTCTCCTATATAGCTCTTAAACCTGGAGTATAACTAAAATAATCAAAGCTTTATTACACATTTTTTGAAAACAGAACCTTAAAACAAATCTTTCGATGTATCAAAGCTGCAAACAGCAGAGAATTGAGAGTGAAAAGCAATAATAAAATTTATTACCTGTTTAAATCACCACTAACTGTTATGTTTATGTTATCATAATTGATGTCACTGCACACTGGGCATTCCCATGTGTGCTCAGTCCTCCGATGCAGCAGCCACTCCAAGGTACTTCTACTAATTGTTCCTATGACAGGTTAATTATAATGTCTCCTATCTCGACCTCGAAGGTGGCATAGATTTGCTTTACCATGTTTTACCTCCATGTCACGCAACCGTGTTAGTGTCAGAGATTCGCCATTATCCACTAGCCCAGTCCGTACAGTGTTGACAATATCTGCTCTGTCCATGCTTTTTCCCACATGCCTTAGTGCACTGCTTGCCAGTTGGTTCTCTCATCCATTACCCTTTATGCCCACATGACCAGGTGTGTAGATCCAGGCGAGGGAGGATAAGTGTGATTTTCAAATGCTGTCGCCCCATTCAGAGCACATATGTCCTGTTGCTACCTTGTGAAAGTATGTTCGTTCATGGAGTCTGACACAATTACTACCTGTGTGGCTAAAAATAATTACTGGCATCATAGACTGCAATGGTTGGGGCATGTAGAGAGAATGATAGACAACAGAGAAAAAACTTATGTGCAGAAAAAGAGTTGAATGGGAATAGACCATGAGGCAGACCAAGACGATTGTGGATAGTCAAAGGGTCCTTTACTGACCTTACTTATAACTTACTTCAATATCCAGTAAAGTTGACCTCTTCAGGAAATACTTTGAGAGATAAGAATTTTCTGCTGATCTGCTCTCTCTTCTGGCTCTGTACCATCTGGTTTCACATTAAAAAAAAATTACAAACAAGCCTGTATCACATTTTCTAAAACATGACAAAGAATAAACATATTTAAAAAAATTTTCACCCAAATTGACAACATGTGAATACAAAGTTGAGTTGAGTCAAGAATTGATATCACAGCACTCTGGGCATTACCATGTGTGTTCCGTCCTCATCTTCAGCAGCCAGCGCAAAGTTCCAGTACTGATGGTACCGGTCACAATCTAATTATATGTCCGTCTTGCCTTTCCTCTAAGTGCAGTGAGCCGGCCAGACCCTCTAGTTACACCCAGAATACAAAGAAGAAGAAGAAGAAATTATCTTTTTTTAATTTTATCTCCCAATGGAAAACAGGCCATCAAAGAAGTTATGACAACCCCAGCAACTCCTCCCCTAAATTGCGCTCTCTATTCAGACCAATTGTTTCAAGTTTAATGACACCAAATGTTTAACATCCTCCCATCTGAGTTCCAGGGCCCCATGTGGGAAGAAAAGGAACAGACCCACTGCCTCCCTAACAAGCATGCCTTAATAAGAGGTAACTAATTAGAGCTTTGTTGAAACTAGATGTGTTGGGTTGAAAGGTGGAGATATCACAGTCTAGCTGTAAACCACAATGTTCCAACCACTCTTTTAACTTTTGAAAGCCATAGATGATTTTGAAATATATGCCTAACAGGCAAAGAATGATGAATGCATTATATTACAGTTAAACATACGCATTGGAAGCAGCCAATGTGACAGCTAGATTTCTTTAGAATACTATGAACAAAACATATTGCAACAGCTGGGATTCAATTGGAAAAACGTCGACATATCATGTGTTTCTTGGGCCTGAAACAGTTATGTTAAACGCAGAAGAAAAAAGAAAATAACATATCCCAAATCGTAACCCCCCACAAAAAAAAGGATAAAACAGGAGTGATCTCACAGCGGAACAACCAATGAGAAAGTGTTAAAAAACATACACATTTTTTCTTGTATAATCCCTTTGTGGAACAGAACCACTGCCTACTCAAAAGCATGTTGCAAGAATTGACTAACTGGGAGCTTTCTCCGAAGTCGGAGCGTAAACTGCCTGAGAGGCAAGAAACCAACTGTCTACATATACATGAGTCAGACTTGTAAAACTGATGTGCATGCAACACCCAGGTTCTGGAACAGGACTAGAGTCAGAAGTGGACGAACAACTAGAATGTTCCGCTGGAATCTACAGCCACTGAACGCGAAGAAGTCTTGAACAAAATAAATGACAATGTATAACGTGTTGTTCTTTTCTTTGGTTCTAATCATGTTGAGCAGCCCCACAATGAGAGTAACTTCCCTTCCCACTGATGCCTCGATCTGGTGCAGCGCTTGCACTATGTCACAGGGGTGCATCCTAGGTCGCACGACTGTATGCAGCGTATAATAGAGACTGCATACAGTCATGGGACATTGGCCGAGGCTGTGGAGTAGGGGGGTTTGGGGTTAAGCCCAGCTGTACATGTTTTGGGACCATTAAAAGCTCACAGCATAGAAGATGGGATATCGCCGGCTGCTGACAACAAGGAGTAAAATACGAATCGCTACATCTGAAACCCCTGCGACATAGTGCAAGCGCTACACCAGATCAAGGTATCAATGGAATGGGAAGTCACTCTCATTGTGGGACCATGGCCACAGTCACCCTAGAAATAGGCCTGACGTCTTCCTTCGAAGTCGGCGTACAGCTGCCCAAGAGGCAGGGAAATGAAAAACGGTTGTACACGCAAAAATCAGGTCCAGGTGAAAGCCAAAAGTCCAAGCGGACGATTAACCGTGACCTTCCACTGGAATTCACAGCCGGTGTTCGATGAAAAAAAAAAAAAAAAAATTGTGGGACCATTATTGCATAAAGTACCTTTTCTTCTTTTGTATGTCCTACTGCTTATGCCGTAAAGCAGAGAAGTTAGATGTAGTTTTTGCTAGTGGCATAGCTTGTGTTAATGCCATATTGAGTTTCTACAGTATCTCGTTTACTCCTCAAACCCCCCCCCCCCCCTCCCCCCAATCTCTTTCTTGGTCAGCCTCTTGCCTTTAGCCTTGGCTGTTCTCATGCAGTAAGCTCTAGCTGCTGGTTGTTGCAATTTGACTGGATTATAAAACCATCTGATTCTTTGATGTTCTATGAAATCATTTACTGGTACTGTGCCTACCATTTTTCTTAGTTCTTAATTGATGTCTCTGTCTCTTCTTGTTTTTCCCACTGCATTGTTTTTATAAATCTCATCTCACATGTTGTAATTTTTAATTTATGTTTTTCTTGGACTGTCCATTTCTGGCATTGATAGCACAAAGATGGTACAAATAGCGAATTTATCATTTGCCTTTTTGTGTGTGACAGATTTATTACACATAAAATTGAAGAAGATCACTTCTGGAAATCATTTTCTCTTCCTCTAGCTATTTCATCAAAGTGTTGAGTGGAGATGTAAAAATCTTCTGTGTGCTTTCACTAATGCTGTTTAAATTGACCTACATTTCCTCAAGGCTGTTCTTGATTGCTTTGTTCCATTTTTTTTGCGCGGTCTACCCATTGCCTTAAGTTCATTATACTTCCTCAGTATAGCTTTTTGTGGCAGCTGCTACCAGGGCTTTCTCATTAGAAAACCATGAAAATGAAAGAATACTGACCCTTGAAATGCTTTGAAGAGTGTTATGTGGTCAGAGAAAGCTACTGACAACATATCTTTAGCTGCGTCTGCTTCTGATCGTTTGCTCAGAGGCACAACAAATGGAGACTTTTCTGTCATGGCAGCAGCTATCACAGCCTGTTGTGTGTGATGATAAAACATTACATGAAATGCACAGGAACATTAAGAGGCTAAAGAGAAATGCGTGCACATGAACCAGGGAAGTGTAGTGTAGTTACAAAGGAAAATATGGTAATTTAACAGTGTTACTATTTTTTTCCTTTATTTTTCTGCATTCACCCAAAAAAATTTTGGCTGGTGCGTTATGGCTTACAGCTAGGCTGTGATATCAGCACCTTTTGGCCTAACACATAAGATTTCAGCAAACCACTAATTAGTCATCTTTTATGGCATGCTTGTAAGGGTGGGGGGCAGTGTTACTATTGTTAGCTTTCCATATGGGCCTCAGTAACACATGGATGACCTCTTTGAGGTCCAGCAAAATACAGGCTAGCTTCAGTTCGCTGATCTTGTGACAAGGAATCAAGTTACATCAGCAGCTGACCATATTCATCTACCATCTATCTTTAGTTCCACCTAGCTTATGTGAATACCTGGTTTTTTTCTACTGCACTATCCACTTCTTCATCATTCATCGAGTAGTGTAAAAGCATTGAGCCTGTTTAAGGCATAGCTGCAATATTTGCACATTTCAGCCAACATATCTCAACTTCTTCGGGCAATTGTTATCTGGATTAGCCTTCCCGGTTAGTATCATGGGACATTTGTAGCCTCCAATCTGTGGCGACTTTGTCATCCCCTGATCCACAGAGGACCCATCTAGAGCAGTGGCGTACAGTTTGGCTGACCATCACGGGAAGGCAAGGGTAAGCATGGGCATTCCCCACCATCCAAGGAGGCTTCCATAAATGCAGAGCTGGTGCATGCAGCTCTAGTACTGGGCTTACCCAAGGAATCATCACATCCTGCACATGAATGCAGATATTGAACCTTTCATTCATTATGGGCTGCGTCCAATGGGATCCCCAGTAAGCAGTCTGCAGACATGAGATTCCCTGTAGCAATGAGCTTCTTACTTTCTCAGCATGTTAGACTTCTGTCTTTAACAGCGACACCCTTGCCACAGATGCCCCGGTCAATTTTTGCAGTATTTATGAGAAGGATGCATTAGGCATGACTTCACTGTATGGTCATTACACTCCGTTGTGTTATGAGCTCTGTTATAAGCTTATGTAAAGCAATGGCATTTTTTTTAGTCAACACTAGAGAATTCGGTATCTGGAAAAGTACAAGGGTTAATGGGCTTGTTAGTCAGTGAGACAGAAAGCCTGGATAGACATGAAGACCAAATACTTCATAGCAAAAGAAACAATACATACTATTTGCTCCAAGCATCCAAATATTGCAGCCAATATCAACATTTTCCCGATGCGGACATCAACTGGTAGAGCAGCCAAGTGATGACCCAAGGGAGTCAGAGTACAGTCGTCTGATTGGCAGGCACCGACTTCTTTCAGCAAGTTCATGGCCCTAGAGACAGCCAATCCCTGAGGTGGATCAAGAGCACCACTCAGAAATTGATCTGGCTTGCCATATTGGCATTTCTGAGGAGAAAACAAAGAAACGATAACTATTTAAGTAACCCTGGTTAGTTCTGAGGTAGGCAACCATATCAAAGACCTAATATGAGGAAAACAACTGACACCGAAATTGCTGGGGCAGAGGGGATGCAGAGGTTGTGACCCACATGTAGTGGTGCACCAGGACCGGGACTTTGACCCATCTAAACCTCTCCTCGATCATCCTAGAAACAGGTCCCTAATCAGAATCCTGGTCAAGGTAAACAGGATCAATGTTTCCTTCAAAGTGCATCTGCCTGAGAGGCGAGGCACCAACAATCTTCACACAAATAATCTGTAAATTTGATTTGCATGCAACAGTGAAGCCCACAGCAAGTCCGAAAGTGGATGAACAACCAGAACTTTATGTCGGCATTTGAAGAAAAAAATCTTGTTCAATTGATCTCCCTATTGACAATAGACCATCAAAGAAGTCAGGCCAACCCATCCTCTGCTATATCCTTCACCAACTCATGTAATCAGAGATACCCTAGATCATGGCTTTTTTTCAAGAAAAAAAAGTGCCAGTACTTACCACAAATGTCTATAAAAGAAAAAGTGCCAGTACTCACTAAAAAGTGTCCATTACAGTAATCCTAAAAAAAAAGATGCCTACAAAAGGTGCAGGTACTGCGTACAGTTGCATACTCCCAGAAAAAGCCCTGTCCTAACTTACCATGATACTCAAACACAATTCCTCCAGAGGCACCCTTAGCATCTCTGGAGTTGTGTAAGCTCTGAACTCACGAAACTGCCCCTGCGTGAACAGCCTAAAGCAAAAGCCTTCTCTCACTCGGCCAGCTCGTCCAGCTCGCTGCTTACAGCTGGCCTTGCTGATGAACACCTCCTCTAGAACACTCATCCGACTGGTCTCCAGGTACCTGTTCAGTGTAATAACAGACAACAGTCATTAGAGTTACAGCTGGCTGCATATTCTTTACCACATATCTGCCTGCCCTAATGTTTTGCTGGGTTCGAATCCATATGAAGTCAAATATGTTACAAGGAATTTGGCTCTCAGGTTAACCAGCCCTAGTGGGTACCAGGTAAAGTCCTGGGAAGTAAAAGCAGCCAGGATGAAGTTATAAATCACCAAGTGACTACCAACTGGTCAATATAAATATCCAAGACGCATCAAAGTGTGAAAAAGATGCCTGACTCTACACTTAACTATATTCTTTAAAGGAATTTGCAAACCAACTTTAGAATTTGTTGGTTGTTACCTTACTAGACGATTTTACGCTCTGTAACTGTTATCATCTTCTGAATGGTTGACACTTAATACTACTGGTAAAATAAATACAAAGCAATCAGCTAAATCAACAACAGTAATTAAGTTACTATAAGTGTTAAAATTAGCAACTCTCTAGGTTCTCAACCTTCCTAATGCTACAGCCCTTTAATACAATTCTTCATGCTGTGGTGATTCTCCCCCCCCCCCCCTCCCCCCACCCCTCCATGACCTACAGGTTGAGAACCGCTGCTTTAGATGATGGCATACTAGTGGATGTAAAATTTGTCTAGAAAAACCACAACAGCCAAAAACTGCTGGGGTTGGTTCTTCAATGTCCTGTAAAGGATACGCAACAAACTAACTACTGTAACTATACAGAAGAGACAGAGTCATCACTGAAGAACTAGGACTAATGGTAGGCCCAGTACCAGTAAATAATTTCACAGAACATCAAAGACTCAAATGGTTTGATCATCTGGTAAGAACAAAACAAAATTAGCCAGCAGCTACAGAATAGCAGGCAACAACATGAGCTAAGCAACTAGCAAAGAAGGAAACTACGTCTTACTCCTCTCTGCAACGCGCTTTATGGCATAAGCAGTAGCACAAAAGAAGGAGAAAATATTCACAATTTCATCAATAATTAAACAAATGGGATGATGAAATATAAAACAGATTTAACTGCTACAGTCATTACTCACCGACTTTCTTTGGCCTTGCCGCTGTCGATGACAAAAACAACATCAGGTATGGTGATGCCTGTTTCTGCTATGTTGGTTGCCAGGACAACCTTTCTGACCCCAGGTGGCGGAATTATAAAAACTTGACCTTGGTCTTGTGATGAAATAACAGAGTGCAGAGCAAAAATTTTGTATCTGTGGGGAGAAAGGGGAGAAAATGTCAACTATTAAAAAAGACTCCTGGGTAGCAAAGATTGGTATTTACAAATCTTTCTAAAAATGGGAAATACCAATCAAGACAACCGTACCTACATGTGGTGCTACCTGTTGTATCAGTCACGGCTCTTGCACACAGCGAGCTTCCATCGCTAACAAAATGGACCCCCGATGCCTGAAGGGGTAAAATACCAGGCTGCGGCTGGGGTAAGCCAGACAGAAACCCTCAGCAGAGTGTGACTACCCTCCCTTCTCCTAAGGATAATCAAAGGGGGAGAAGGGAAACTCCCTCAACCTCTGATTTCTGGCAGGCAGTGTTTGGATGAACAAGGACATGGATAGGGAGACTCAGTAACTTCCTCCACAAAGACGGACATGTCAGTCTGAATGGCATGGGCACTCAGAAATGGAAACGGACATCAATGCAATCTACCGTTAAAGAGTATGCTTAGATACCTACACAGTTATGGAGCTGCTCCTGTGGACTACTGCCAAGTAGGAACAGCACCAGATTTTGAGCCTAAAAGGGGTCCACCTTAAACTACTGATGGTAGCTCTGCTCATCAAGATTAAGCAGAGTAATGTGTCTGGCCAAAATAATACCTTCTTCTTCTTCTTCTTTCGTTCATTGGAAATAGATTATCGATATCTGCAATGTTGTCTCTAGTATGAACTTCACTGTCTTTTGTAATTCGCTCAGCAACCCATAAAGTTTGACTTGCACCGATGTTTCTCTTGGCCAAAATAATACCAAAACACTAAAGATAATGCAGTGAAATGCAGAAGGGGTCATGATGAAAAGCTGGAACTGCAACAATTCAGCTATGAACAAAAGATTAATGTTGTCTGTATTCGGGAAACCCATTTAAATACAAGCTCTCGCTTTTTTGTCAGAGGCTATGACAAAGGAGAAACAACACACCCATTCACTGTCATTACCAGAAATCAAAATGCATCAAGGGAAAATACAAGAAATTGTGGAGAGAACAAAGTAACAGTAATCATCCATAAGACCCCCATCAGCAGACTCAACAGAAAGCAACATACAATTTTCCTTCTACCAATAGGACACTGTAGGCTCAACTACCACATGTATAAATGAAAGATTGTACAGTCCCCACAGTGTGCCCGTCAGACAGGACCAAAAATAACTCAGCACATTCTGCCCCCTCTACCTACAACTTCAAAAAGACACCTGGCCTCAAGAGCAAAGTGTGCAGAGAAAGCTATGGGGAACCACGAAGGACCTGCTGCTGACATTTGAGTTCAGGAAGGCAACCCACCTGATGGTCTGACCTGAGCATAGAAAACTGGACGCAAAGAGGAAGAAGAAAAAGACCCCTAAAACCTGAAGACAAAAGAACTATTATTACACTAAATGAATACTGGAAAAAAAAATTAAAACTGCAGGTAACTGGCCCGTAACACTATACAGCTATGTAATATAGACTTTAAACAAAAGAGATGAAAAGTAACCGAGAGCTTCTGAGAAGTGATTTTAGTGCTGAATGCAAAAGAGCACCTTCCTCACAATAAAACAGCAACATTTTGTTTTTACTTTTGATTTATCTTACACAAAATGTGTTTTTTGTTTACTAAACCCAACAATAGCAATAAATAATACATACATTTCTTCCGGTCAAAATCAACGCTAGGCACGGGCACTGTTTGGAGACGGGGCAATTTTTTGGCTTCTGCTAGACAGTGGCCATTGCATTTTTGCTCCATTTGTAGACTGAAAGGATATAGTTTCGTCGCCCAGCTTCTGAGTTGAATGCATGGCGGGACACTGTGAGCTGCAGATTTCATTTGGAATGTTTTTTCGACTGTGACCAATGTAATGGTATGAATTGAAGATTCAGAAAATGGTACGATGCCTGTTGTCGCAATATTGGTGGTGCCCTTATGTGATTAAAATTGATTGCGTGTGCAACTGCTGATCTGCTGGTGACTTCTGCTACCATCAATGATGAACTGCATTTCTAATGTCGGACTGCTTTTAATGCGTGTGTATGATAGATATGCTGAGATAGCAGTCTGTTAATCTTTCCACAAGGGACTGTGATAAACATTCTGTGTGTTTTTCGTTGGCACAGGAGCGGAGCAACTATCGGGTGACTCGTTAGCTATGAAGCTGAAACTAAGATTACCAGACTGTTCCATACAGCTTGGTTTCCACTGGAATGCCCCCTGGCCAAACCCGAGATCTCCCTACTGCATGGAGAGGGCATGTCTGTAGCACGTGTTCAGTATTCTCTGGTGTCTGTCTATACTGGCAAAGTTTTGAATCCCATAATCTTGAATTTCTTGTACTCATGACTGCAGTCTGTTGTGTCCAGAACACAGTCTAAATATAATGGTCTGTTTCTTTCATGTGAGGAGGTTGACTGGGTCCTCAGCATTGTGGCCTGGATGAGAAGTGTTCCAGTGGGTTCTATTGGCTGCCTTGATCTGGGTTTTATTTACCCCATAAATGCATTTTGTATCTGGCTGTTCTGTATGACTTCTAACTCTTGCTAAATAGTCTGCTCTTTCACTTCATGTGTAAAATCAGGTCTAGCATATTTCATAATTACACCACTGCCTATGAAAGAACCAAAGAACAGTAACTTACACATATGTTTTCAGAGCTGATTCAGGACACTTGGCATGAGATTGGCTATCTTATTCCATTAAAAACGTCTGCTGCCCTGACTGCGTCTCTTGGTTGTATATCAGTACATTTTGTATTTAAACAGATGATCTGTTAAAGGAACGCTTGAGTTGAGGAATCCTCAAGCTTTTCTTTATTCTATGTTTAGTGCCAAAGTTTGTTGGTTAGCAACTTTTTACCAGATCCTTCTATTGTGACTCAACAATGAAATGGCTGATTGACCCTTCCAAGGCAGAAATGAGTAAATGAAAATAACATTTACGAAATACCAGAGATAAATAATTTTCTGGATGTACACACTTTGTTGGATTGCTGAAATGCCGCTGTGTTGTAAGTATCTCGTATAACTCCTGTATGTCAGCTAGACCTGGCAGAAAGATTAGCACAGCACCCTCTACATCACAGAAAGGGGGCGATGATTCTAAGTGCTTGAGTAAATCCTGCAAAAAACAAGAAATTGATATATTTAGTTAAAAAACAATCTCTGGTTCTAAATTATTCATGCAAATAAAATTGTTTTATATTAATATTAACTAGTTAATAGCGTTCTCACATTAGAGTGGATACATAAACATCTACTCCTTTGTTAAATGTGTTGCAAACAATAGCAATACTGGAAACCATGCATGTTGCAAAATAGAGGATGTTGGTCCCAAAATAAGGTTCAAAGTGACGGCTAACATAATGCCGACACCAAAACGAGTGTTATTACAATATTTATACTTACTACAATGAGGTCCAAATTGACTCGGTTCAGGTTGAGTCGTGTTACTGCATTTCTAGTCTTCAAGGAATATCTGTCTGCTGGCAGGTCAGTCTGAAACCACAACAAGCAAGTGAGGACTAAAAGAGAACAAGAAAAACACAGAAAATCATTCTCTATGTCGTTATATTTTCTTCTTACTAGTTGTAGTAAATGGAGCGGAAACATGGAAAACAAATAAGACAATTACTAAGAGAAGATAAACATTAATTAACTAGTTTTTGTGCATAAGAGAGGGAATTAAATAGTTTGAGAGAATCCCTAATCTGAGATTTTGGAGAGAAAGAAACAAGTTCCAGAGGACCAAGAGGTGAAGAAAAGACGCGCTGCCTATGGACAGGACTCATGTATGTAACTATAAATGTCTTTGCACAAAAATAGACAGGCCAAAAAACACATGAAGAAGGTAGCTAGAGAATGAAGTTAAAAAAGATGGGAAGGACATGTGTGAGCTGTATGCAACAGCAAAGGATAGAACGGCTTGGTCTGAGCTGGTTGAGGGACGATGCTCCACTGGGGGATAGAAGGCAGAAGAAGAAGAAATTGTAGTAAATATTTGTCACTAACAGCTTGATGTTGTCTACTTGTTACAACAGTCAATAAATAAATAAATAAATAACTACACCATTCTACAATATACAATTAACAAACTGAGTTCTAATCTGTTTAAAAATAACTTATTCTTTCAGTCTCAAGCAAAAAACTTTCTTCAACTCTTTCTATCTAATTTTGTTGGCTCCTTATCTATAGTCTTTTCAGACGATAGCATTATACTGAAAATTTGTTACAACCAAAAACATACTTTATCAATTTTGCTGATGTCTTCTTGTGTCCACACCACATTCTGTTTAGATTTCTTGCCTCCCATTTTGGTGACTTCTACAGATGCTGAATCTTCCTTGAAGTTTGAAAGAAACGGAATAAATTGTGAACATCCCAGTAAATGTAGAATAATGAAATACTTCATCTTAATGATGAAGTTTTGCTTGTGTGTTGTTTTTTGGAGCCGCATTTTGGGGGAAACAAAGAATAGATTCACTGCCCCCCCCCCCCCCTTTTCCAACAAGAATGTTGTAGAAGGCAACTAACTAGGGGTGTTTCAAAAACCGGACATACCAGTCTCTTATCAACAAAAGAAGAGAATAATCAAATCAATCAGAAAGCCATCAAAACCGGCACAAGATGATTACCATTTTATGGACAGACCAGAGCGGGTTATTATTCTACGCCTTAGAACAGGACACAATTGACTTCGCAGCCACATGTACACAAAATTTAAAATCAGCGAATCCGCCATGTGCACATATGGACTGGCACCTGAGACACCAAATCAAGACTGTCCCAAATACAACACATCAAGGCAAAAACTTTTAGCCAAGAGAAACATCGGTGCAAGTTAAACTACATGTCGCTGAGTGAATTACAAAAGACAGTGAAGTTCATACTAGAGACAACATTGCAGACATAGATAATCTATTTCAAGCGAACGAAAGAAGAAGAAGATGAAGTAGGGGTGTTTCATTCGAAGACTGAGTTAATCTGCCCGAGTGGGGAGGAATCAACAATGTGTATACAAATAAGCCAAATCTGTAACATGGATGTGCATGCAGAACTCAAGCTCTGGAACAAGAGAAGACCACTAAGAAGATGAAGATAATGAGGTTTACATTTAGGTTACTCACTAGTAACAGTTAAGTAAAGGACCCTTTTCCACGTCTTTCAGCCGTATTCGGTATATAGGGCCAGACCTATATTTTACAGACCAAACGGCACTTGGTGGGTGATGTGGTCAGCATCACGCCGGCCGCCTTTACTTCAGAGGACTGTACCTGGTACCCACTCAAGGCTGGGTCGACCGGGAACAAGGTCATTTTTGAAAAAAAAAAAATTGGTCTCGCCAGGAACCGAACCCACAACCTTCCAATCTGCAGCCGAGCATCTAGCCGCTAGACCATATTGGCTCCGGGTTACTCACTGGTGCAAAAGTAAAAAAGTGATTCACCTTCAACATGGAAAAAGTAGTTCAATTCCAAATAAAACACCCAGTTTGTGTGTGTGTGAAGGAGAAAGAAGAAGATGACATCTGTCCTCTCTAGGCTGCTACCTCTCTGAGATTACAAGCATCTTGTACTGGATGGCAAGCCCAAAGGGTAATTCTCAAAACCCGTTGATCCTCCAAGAAGGTTATAATTGGGGCAACAAATACAGCAACATCAGTTTGCAGTGTTATGCAGGTAAGGATGAAGATCAGGAAGATGGTGAGAGAAGGTTACTGGCGGTTGTTGATTAGGATTAGGATAAAAAAGTATGGGCACTCAAAGTGAAGAAACCTTTTCCACCTCTTCAGACATATAGGGTTGGACCTTCATTTTGTAGACCAACTGGAACTTGGTGAGTGATTTGGTCAACAACATGCCAGCTGCCTTTATTTCCCAGGACTGTACTGAGTACCTATTTAAGGCTGGGTCGACCTGGGAGCCAAGGTAATTTGGGAGGGAAAAAGTCAAGACTCCACCAGGATCCGAACCCATGACCTTCCTATCTGCAGGCAAGCATGTAGCTGTCCAACCCCGCCCCCCCTCCCCCCGCACCTCATGATCACATAAAATGATACATTTTGTTGTAGTTGAGATTGTGATATGTAACAAAAAAAAATTATCACCCATGCCTGTCAGTCGGATTTTCTTATAATGGCAAGATAACAGTTTAGTTGGCACCTTTCCAAACCATACTGTTCCACTGTGCTATGGGTAGGCATAAGAATCATAACCCATGCCAATACAATTATGGCCAGGGATGAAGTTCCTCTTCTTGACAGCAAAAAGCCTGGGCAGTATTGTAGAGACTACTGCAACTGCAGCGTGATGCCTTACTTGGCCTGCCTTGTTTACTCCAAGGGAAAGGTAACACTAAAAGGTTTGGAACAAAGGATGCTGCAGAAGTTACTCGTTCATAAGAAGACTGCTCTGTCTGTCTGGCATGATAATAATATAAACTTGTTAAATGTTAAATAATTCACAGTTTATAAAGTTAAGTCACCCAATTTTCTGTCCTCAGCTTAAAGTAAAGTCCTTTGATTTGTTTTCTAGGCTGAGATTGAAGTCACCTAACTAAGCTTCAACAGATCTGAGTGAAGTCCCTTGATTTGTTTCCTAGGCTGAAAGTGAAGTCCCCTAATTTTCCTTTGCGCAGCTGGAAATGCAGTGGTGCCTTTACAAAAGCCTAAGAAATTACTTAAAGGATATATTAAGGATATTTTACTTACTTGAAGAAGATACTTCTGGTTTACAGTATATGGGGAATCATCATCCACAACATAGCCGGTCATCTCTATAACATCTTCCAGATAATATTCCTACAAATGGGAAAATTTAGCAACGCAAAATATTTCTAGAATTAGGAAAGAATATATCTTCAAAACGTGATTCCTAGAAATAAGAACAGGATGTGATAAGGATTCCTTCTGAACTTCAAGGTAATATTCCTAAACTTAATAGATACTGAGGGTAATATTTCTGAACTTAATACTATATTTAATATTCTTAAATGTTATAATATATTTAAGATAATATTGATAAACTTGATAATATATTTCAGATAATATTATTAAACTAAATAATATCTTCAAAATTATATGCATAAAGAGTTTAGTTGAGTCAAGAATTGGCAACACAGCACTCAGGGCATTCCCATGTGTGCTCCGTCCTCATCTTCAGCAGCAGGCACAGAGTTACAATACTGATGGTACCGGTCACAGTCTGGTTACCTCTGAGTATAGAGAGCTGGCCAGACTCTGTGGTTACACCCAGGTGCCTCATTCTCTCCAGGCCATAATAATATTGTTTCTCTACTGGCTCCGTTGCTTGTTCCTAAAGGGCCTTGACCACATCAATGCACTGTCTCTGTAAGGTCACCAGCAACACAAGAAGGTCCATGAACCTAGGTGGAGAGCTACCCAGTGAGTACACAAAACGGCTGCTATCCAGTTCACCAAGGACAGACTCCTTTCTCCATAAGCGCTTTCATCAAGATTTACATGGCTGAACCCCAGCCGTTCTGTTTTTCACCTAAATCTCCGGGCTCCTGCCCTTCTGTGCATAAAGAATGAAATTATAACATATTCCAAAGACAAGAAAGAAAACATTTTACAAGGCTCAAACAGAGAACAAAAATCAGGGCCACAAAAGCGCAGGTCCACAAGATTGGCTGTGAAAGACTATAAGTCTTTAGGTATACTACCAGTTAAGGATCTATACTGGGACATATATCTAAAGCTGATCACTGATGATCATTTCAAAACATGTGGGAAATAACACCCACATGATGATAATGATTCTTTCTGCTTGGTGAACTATCTACACACTTTTGTCTACATCATGTTCATCAGGATTTAATGTCTGTGAATCTGTTGTAAGAACATCATAATCGTTGCTCTTCATGGCTGTGATGTCTGGTGCCTCTAGCTTCCGTCTTCCTTGAATGTATTCAAAGTGAAATACCCTTTTTCCCCAACTCTTTCCAGTATATTAAAGAATTAGTTAGTTAGTTGGGTTATCATCATTGCACTCTGGACATGTCCACAGGTGCTCAGATCCTAAGGGAAGCAAAGAAAACTACCTATATTTAAGCATATGTCAGCTTTACAGAACCATTTACAATAATCAATCAAATGATGTTGCAGTGATCTGCCTTCATCAGCAGAATGAAAATGTGAAATAAAACAGTTCCATTTTTTAGTTGTGTTTTGTTTTCTGCTGATGAAGACTAATCACTGCAACCTCCTTTGTTTGTTTATCATAATTATTTCTGTATAGCCTACATACACTTTATGTTTTTCCTTTTTTTTTTTAAAGACTGTCAAAGCTTTACTGTTGTCAGCTTATTTCAATATATGCAAAGAAGAGCGACAATGTAGGCTACAATATATGCTGTATCTTCTTACAGTTCATGCTGTGTGGTGTTGGTAGTCATGTCTATCCACAATTGTATACTTTCAACCAACTCTAACACAGATGATCTTCCTTACCATGGTTTTAAACTGTTCAGATTTTCTCTCTTGGTCTCCTTGAGCCCGATGTGCATATATTGGTAGAATAGGACAATGAATGAATGAAATGTGATCGTGTTGGGCCGAAAGGCACAATTACTCAGCCTATCTGTAAACCACAAGATTTTGCACTAATTGCCCTTTTACTGCGAATGCAGAAGAGGTTAAATAATTTCAGTGTTAAAAGGAGGTCAGAGATTTATACTGACCTCTACAGGAAATGTGCGGCCAGGAACATTAACTACCGGACAATGCTGGAAGTACGAGGAAATTTTCTCACTGTCCAAGGTCGCACTCATTAATATCACTTTCAGATCTGCCCGTCGTCTGAGAATGTCCTTGACAACGATCATCAAAAAGTCAGACTGCACATTTCGTTCATGAACCTGTTGAGAAAATCACATTTTACAGAAAAACATCATAAAAGCATGCAGAACTTGAAATATACTGCCATAATCTCGCAATGTGTAAACATTTTCTTGTATATTCATTCATTTATACTCCTTTTGTGCTATTATATGGCACTAGCTTGAGATACCACTAAGACAAGAGTGGTTTAATGGTATGGTAGAATAAGAGGTACAACAATTTATAGATGATGATGCAACAGTGTACACCAATGGTTCTGTTAATGGGAAGGGGGGGGGGGGGAGTAAGATGTGGCTGGGGGTTTTCAGCTAGAATGAAGGTGAAAATTGTGGCAGAAAAGAATGGAGCTTTTTTATCTACAACTTTAAGCATAAGGATGGAGGTGGAGGCAGTCACTGCAGATCTGAAGTGCATAGCAAAAAACAAAGTTTCCAGAGTAATTATTGTGTCTGATTCTCAGTCGGTACTGCGGAAGGTTCAAATTGGACACAACTGTGGCGTGAATGGGTACCAAGCATCAGCACATCTACATAATGTGACTCACACTGATATACAGTCCGGGGTATGCAGGAGTTTGAGGAAATGAAAAAGCGGATTTTCTGGCTAATAAAGCAAAAGCTACGGGAACACTCATACTGGACCAGAGAGATATTCTGAAGACCATATATGAATGACTGTTGAAAGAAGACACAAGATTAGATGAAATAACATTTGCAAGAATGTGTGGTCGAGGAATTAAGTGTGGATCCTGTAAGGAGGGATGTATGCAAGGAAGAGAACAACGTGTGTATAATTAGTGTGCCATGGGAACAGTTAGCATCTACACCTTAACTCTTTGAGTCCCAAGGAACGCAACATACGTTCATAGATTCCTAGAAGCCAATGAACGCAGGATGCGCCAATTTTACGTCTATCTTGACTACCCCTTGGGCCTGTGATGGTTAACCCCCTGGGACTCAAAGAGTTGAGACATATGCTGCGGGAGATAGAGCATTTATGAGGTATGCCCGGTGTGCTATGATATTGATTCTTAAATCTTAAATTTTCTTATTATATGCCAAAGAGAGCTTGCAGTTCATTTCTCCACTCTCAACTATCAGGTGCAATCACTTTGACATGATGGATGGAATCCAGTCCAGCACCTTTGGCTTCTCTCATCAATGTTTGCTCAAGGGTTTCTCTTGGAAGTCCTCGTTTCCCCAATCCCTTTATTTCCCATTTCAGTGCCTATTTGGTGATTCTCCGTTCATCTCTTCTCAGAATGTGTCTCTCACAGTGCTATACTCTCTGTCTTATAACTGTTGATACCAGTGGTTGCCCAGACATTTCTTTATACTTTTTTAATTTATCCCACCTTATGTTCTTATATTTCTCAGGCAATGTGGACACGGTGCTCCCAAGATATTCAGATCATCCAATTTCTCTATGGGCATTACCAATGTCGACTTATCCATAGGACAACCATCTGAAACTAAGTAGCATTTGGCAAACCCATCAAACTTCTCTAATGCTATTCTTGACTATGTCCCTTCTTGTGTTGCTGATGACCTTACAGAGACAGTGCAATGACCTTTTATGATGACCTGGTATTGGTTAAAAAAAACAAAAAGGTCATGACCCTGCTGGAATTCCATTCCATCAAAGAAAAACCTATCAAAATGCTATTTTTTAGTAAATGCAACCATAACATGACATCTAAACATTTGCACAGACACAAAAACAGTCAACAGCATTAACTATGCATCTGGTAAACAGGTCACTAAAGACAAGTCGGAAAAGTGACATTTACGGGGAACTGGACCCATCTGTTTTCTGACTTCTTGAGTCAAAATAATTAACAGGTGGTTATTTTCTTCTTCTGTTTTACTTTTCAAATACAAATATCAAGTAAACAAAGATACCATTTTTAGGCCTACACCCTACTAGATAAAAGGTGCTTGCTCTATATTTTTACAGATAATTGGCGCCCTATATATTGCTCTTGACACCACTATGTTTGGCTTGTAATGAACTCTTTTTCTGCTGAGAAATGTCTGATATGTGACCACTTATTTCTTTGTAATCAGATTCATCACATCTTGTGTTCTCAAACTTTCTACATTTGGTTAAAGCAAGCTAAAGAAATCTGGCGTACCCAGACAGCGACTTTCACTGTGTATTAAGCATCAGTGCAAGTAACAAACTCAATATTTTTCACAAATAATATTCCTTTCCTTGTTTTTCTGCCGAAACAACTTTTGAACTGAGAGAATTATGATCATTGTATCCTACCAATCTGTCCTCTCTAGGTCATTTCCTGTCAAGTACTTACTCCTACGAGACATGTGATGTAGAGCTTCTTTTGTTCAAGCATGGATGGAGATTATTTGACAAACTTCACCTTAAAGTTAACAGATTATATGAATTCTTGCATTTTCGTCTTCTTCTTCTTTGCGTTCACCATCCATAAACTTTGACAGAAAGTTATGGATGTTCGTGCACTTCTAGACTTTAGTCTTGTTCTAGAGCTTGAGTTTTGCAGGCACATCCATTTTTCAGATCTAGCTCACCTTTATGCAGACTGTTCCTCGTCTCTCAGGCAGATGCAATCTGACATCGGGAAAAAAAACACCTAATTAGTAGACTTTTACTTCATGCTTGTTAAGGTTGCAGTGGGTCTATTCTTTTTTCCTCCTATAAAGAGGCCCCTCCCCCCCCGAACCCATTCAGGAAGTATTCTTGTTTGTAACTGTATAATTTTCTGTTCATGTCAATGCTGATAAAGGCTTCATAACTGCAATCTTAATTTTTATCTCCTATGAATGTTCTTCTTCTCATCTGGATCGACACTTTAACTAGTTAAACAAGTTAACAAGTTAACTATAGCACTCACCTCATCAATGATCAGATGAGAGACTCCACCTAGGTCTGTCTCACTCTGCAACTGCCTCAGCATCACCCCCGTTGTGCAGTACAACAACCTGGTGTTAGGACCACGGCGAGATTCAAACCTGATCTGATAGCCAACGAGAGCTTCACTGCTATCCACATCTTTCTGTCCCATCTCGTGGGACACACGGGTGGACAAGCTCATGGCTGAGATTCTTCGTGGCTGTGTACAGACCACGTTGACAAAATTCTCGCCTCGCTCTGCGCAATCCTGGATTTAATGAAACACAAAAAGAAATTATTTAATATATATGAATTATTGAATGTTGAATTAGGAATCTACATCACAGCACTTGGGACACTCCCATTAGTGCTCAGTCGTCATCCTCAGCAGCAAGCTAAGAATTCCAATTCCGTTGGTACCAGTAGTCATCTGATTGTATATCCCTCGCAATCCCTCCCCTGAGTGTTAAGCGTTGGCCAGATCCTCTGGTAACTCCTGGCATATATAAATGAATGATCAAGAAGTGACATTACTGCACTCAGGACCATCCCACACATGCTATACCTCCTTCCTTATATATTTATATATATAGCTTATTTATATTTATATATATATATAGAAAGAGACAGACAGACAGACAGACAGACAGAGTCAAGAGGGTGGAGAGACATTTACAGAGAGGTAAAAACGGAAATTGGAAGTAAGAGAGAGAGGGAAAGTAGCAAAACTAGAGAAAGATAAATAGAGAAATGAACAAACAGAGACAGAATCTGAGAGGTAAAAACGTAAACTGGATATAAGAGAGTGACAGAAACAGAGTAAGAGATAAAAGAGAGATGGATACAAAGTGACAGATAGAGCTTTTCCATACATAAAGAAAGGCAGAAGCATAACAGAAATGAAAAGAGAACAACAGGGACACTAACAGACAGAAAGAATGTTGAATTAAGAATCAACATTACAGCAATCGGGATATTCCCATAAGTGCTCCACCCCATCTTCAGCAGCAAGCGCAGAAGACAGAAAGATTCTACATTAAGAACTAATCCTGCTGCTTACCTCCAGTAAAAACTGAGGCACTTGGGTACTCTTGCCACTGCCAGTCTCTCCAGCAATCACCACCACACTGTGATCTCGTACTGCTGCAAGCACCTGTCAGAAGTTGCATCTTACAAAATAAATTAGGGTTTCAGGGCCCCATTGGGGGGGGGGGGGGGGATTCAGGGCCCCATTTGGGGGGGGGGGGAAGAAACATATCTCCTACCCCCCCCCCCCCCAAACATGCACATTGTAAATGGCAACTAATTAGGAATTTGCTGGATGTGTTAGGCCGAGAGGCACAGATTTTGCAGCCTAGCTGTAAACCAAAACAGGCCAATCATCCTTTTCAAATTTGATGTTGGTTGCCATGTCGACCCAGTCTAAAATGGGTACCAGGTAATGTCCTGGGAAGTAAAAGCAGCTGGCGTGACATCACTTACCTAGTGCTGATTGGTCTTTAAAAATCTGAGTCTTGCATCATACGCCCAATGTGCCACTGAGGTAAAAAGTGTCCTTGTCTTTTATTTCTTTTAACTCAGCGTTTCTTCTGGGGTTTGGACAGAATTAATTTTGAGCTGAATGTTTTTTTTTACTGCAACATGACAAAGCTAAAACCTTCCAGAAGAAAAACTATTGGCTGTATAGTGACATTTGATATTTCAAATTAAAGAGAAATGAATACAGAATATGTCTTAACTATTTGAGGATCAGTATTTTAACCAAAAAAGTGTTAAAATGACGCCACATTCAAGGATATCTGACATGTGAAGTTCTGTATTTATCTTACATTTTTGTTCACTTGATCAGCAACATTGCTATCCATTTTTAAGAATTCAAATGCCCTCTTTATTCAGTTATGTATCAGCCAGTCTTTAGCTGCGACAATCAATCTAAACACACTTTTGTGGGACATGTAAAATTTCAGAACAACCAAATAAAAAAACTGTAAGGCACTGTGAAACAGCTTCAAAATTATTTAATGCTCGCCCATGCATAGAAAGCATAAATACTTCATTTCAATAACTCTAATTTTTCAAAATTCAAATGAATTTTCCTGACAAACAAGACAATATTATGTCTATGTCGACCACGGATGAATCGGCGATAGGCCTAATCATGACTAATTCTGTCGCCGACTAATCAGTAATACGTTCGGAAACTGTTTAATACTTACCTTGTCTCTATACTGAAAAACTGGCAACTGTTGTCTAGATTTTAACAGCTCTTGAAACTCAGGATTTTGGTGGCATTTCTGTACCACATTCTGTAATACGCCAGGGGCTGATCGGTGCTTTACTGTCCTTCTGTCTTTTGACACACTGTGTGAAGCTGCCTGGAATTCATTCTAGGAAATATAACATTAAAAACATTTACAGAAGTTAACACACACACACACACACACACATATATATATATATATATATATATATATATATATATATATATATATATATATATGTGTGTGTGTGTGTGTGTGTGTGTGTGTGTATATCACTCTTATTCAATCTTTTAAGAAAAAATTGGAGCTTTTGAACTGAAATGCTACAACAAATTTTTTGAATACAGTAGACCAAGAAGAAGAAAAACACTGATATCCTACAGATTTGAGCACTGAGATGATTCGGCCTATAAACAGCATCATGTCTAAAAAGTTAAGGTATTTTGGCCAGGCTAAATATCATGGTGGCCAGGAAATAACAGTGATGGAAGGCGCAGTTTCCAGAAAATAAGGCAGAGGCCAAACTCCATCAAGGTGGATACAGGACATTAAAGATGCAATACCTTTGAAAGGACAGCTGGCGCTGGAGAACAGGCTACAGAAAGTGAGACTTTCAGGCCTGCCGTGAAGAAAGTGACGTTCTGTAAAGGACCTGTTGATTGATGATGGCTGAGGACCTACGCTCTAGAGGGAATAACAAGCAGAAGAAATAAATTACGAGCTTTGTTCTCCACCTTTATTGTAGTAGGCTCCCCATGTGGGATCCTGGGCCCCATTGTAAGGAAAACAAGAATAGAGCCCACTGCTTCCCCAACAAGCATGTCGTAGGAGCTTCCTTCGAAGTCGGAGTTTATCTGCCCGAGCGGCAAGGAACAACTGCACACAAATAAGTCTGTAAAACATATGTACATGAAAACCTCAGGCCCTGACAGTCTAAATGGGAAAACAAACAGGACTTTCCGCCGCAGCTTACAGGTGGTGAATAAAGAAGGAGAGGAAGAAGGTATTAGGCAGCTGTATGACTGCTCCAATGAATTAGACCAAACAGAAATCCCCACAAAGAGCCCCCCTCCCTCCCCCTCAAAGACAGATATAAAAAGATATTTAAAAAAAAAACAAAAAAACTTTTCATGTCACAGGCACATCAATCTACATTCTTTGGTCATGTGATGAGAAGGAGAAAGCTGGAGTACATCGTGACAGTAGGAAAGTTAGAGAGGAGGAGAGGCAGAGGGAGACCTAGAGAAAAGATGCTGGACATTCTGACATCATGTCATGGAGGATTGTCTGTGTCAGAGTTGACTGAAAGTATACGAGACACAAGGTTGTGGACAGACATGACTACCAACGCCACAGGGCATGGACTATGAGTTGACTGAAAGTACACGAGACACAAGGTTGTGGACAGACATGACTACCAACGCCACACGGCATGGACTATGAGTTGACTGAAAGTACACGAGACAGAAGGTTGTGGACAGACATGACTACCAACGCCACACGGCATGGACTATGCGTTGACTGAAAGTACACGAGACAGAAGGTTGTGGACAGACATGACTACCAGAGCCACATGGCATGGACTATGAGTTGACTGAAAGTACACGAGACAGAAGGTTGTGGATAGACATGACTACCAGTGCCACACGGCACAGACTATAAGAAAAAGAAGGCACATTAGGCATATGATGCTCTCCTGTACATTGATATATCATCTTCAATCAGCAGGTCCTTTACAGAAGATCACTCTCTTCTGCCTGTAACTCTCTCTCTTTCTCTAGCCGATTCTCCAGCCTCATGTTCTTTTTCTGAAGAAAAATGGAGAAGCTACAGATAACCCAAGCTACGAACCTTATCAGTCCAGTTTTCCCAGTCATCTTCTACATCATCATCCCCATCACGGCCATCTGCATTTGGTGTGGAACTGGATGTTGAGGTTGAATTGGCTGCACTATCAATGTTCAGTTTCTTGATCAATCTAGAAATGAACTGATCCCTTGGCTGGAAATTAAAAAACAAAAATGAAAAAGAATTCAATTTTTAACACCAACATCATAACAGATAAAGTGAAGTTGCAAGTACAAAGACTTAATGAGCACACACACACACAAACAAAACACCTGAAAAAGACAGAAAATAACAATATAGTTTCATTCAACTAGATAAATATCATGACGGTTAATATGAAACTGCAGATATACAGACTTCATTAGCTAACAAAAACACAGACTAATATAATTATTTAAAGATCTCATCATCATCATCAGGTGCCTTGCCGACTGGCATGGGCGATCATGCCTCTCCATAATCTGCGATCTCCTGCAGCATGTATCACTTCGTGTGCCGACACACCTCCAAGCCATGCAACAAGACTGTCAAGCATCTTCTCTCGTTGTCTACTTCTATCTCTCTTTCCACATATCTTTCCAGTGGTCACAACATGTTTTTTTTTCCCTCTTCTCATAACATGGCCGAAAAATGATGACTGTCTCCTTCTGATGTCTGTGATAAGTTGTCTTTGGGCTCCCGCCTCTTTCAAAACCTCTTGGTTGCTCTTTTTGGCTGTCCAAGGTATTCTAAGCATTCTTCTGTAAAACCACATCTCTGAGGCCTCCAGGACTTGTTTGGCCTGCCTACCTATTGTCCAGGATTCACAGCCATATGTTAAAACTGGATGCATGTAGCAAGCAAGAATTCTTTTTCTAACTCTCAATGACAAGGATATATTGCACAAGATGTTTTTCATTTTATAAAATGCAGTTTTTGCCTGTCCTATTCTGTTTCTTATCTCAGTTATGCATCTTCCATCTGATGTTATCCATGTGCCCAGATACTTAAATTTCTGTACTTGTCCTAAAATAACACCATCAACTTTTATTACACACTTAGGAATAATTCGTTTCTTTGATACCACCATTACTTCTGTCTTCCCATTAATCAAACTGAGGCCCATTCTTCCATTTTCTAACACCACAATATTTATCATTTCCTGTAGTTCTTTCTGACTTGTTGCTATCAAGACTGTGTCATCAGCATAACGTAAATTATTTATATTGTGCCCACCAACCACAATTCCGGGCATACCAATTGAAGGTCTCATTATATATTCACTGTATATTGAAAACAAATCAGGTGACAGTACACATCCTTTTCGTACGACCCTCTTTATGCTTTGAAATGTACCTAAACAGTTGTTTATTCTTATAGCTGCTGTTTGCTGCCAATACATATTCTTTTTTTATTCGTAGATCTTTCCCATCAATGTTTAATTTTTCTAACAGTTTGATTACTTCTTCATGCTTCACACAGTCAAACGCTTTTGTATAGTCTATAAAGCATATGTACAAATCAGTCTTTACATCTATAGCTCTTTCTGACAATGTCCTTAGGATGTATATGGCATTGTTTGTACCTTTTCCTTCTACAAATCCACATTGTTCATCGCTGATTTCTGGTTTAATTTTGTTTCTTACTCTTCTCATAATTATTCTTTGTAAAATCTTAGTCATGTGACTCATAAGATATTGTGCGATGGTCTTCACATTTTATAGTGCCTGGTTTCTTAGGCAGAGCTATAAATATGGATTTTAAAAGGTCATTTGGAATATACCCACTATTATAAATATCATTTAAAAGTTTAGTTTTAAAGATCTAACATACAAAAAATTACTAACAAAGTATAAATTTTCATTAATTAGTGCTTGCGCACTAGAAGGAACTGAATGATACAAACCAATCATTAGTGGAAATTAGGAACAGAACTAAACACCTCCACTGAATCAACAGGTGAGGTCTCTGTGTGGGTGCCAGGGCTTCCTTGGGGGAAGGGGGGGGGGGGGGGGTATAGAGCTCCATACTCCTTAACAAGCATGTCGTAAAAGTTTACTAATTAAAGATTTGCTGAAATCAGAGCTAAAAGGTGCAGATATCATCCTAGCTGTAAACCACAAAACAACAAAATTACTCTTTTAAGAACAAACAGAGAAAAAGCAGAGGAGCTGAGGAAACAATGCTGGCACCGGAGAGAACATCAGTAAGAAAACCTGATGATAATTTAACTAAAAGGTCCCTGTGCAGGAACCTTTTGAGCAAAAGAAATAAAGGAAGCCCTGAAAAAACATACAAAGATGACAATTAGAAAGAGAGGTGAATTAGACAGGGAGGACATGGAAAGATCTACAGAAGGTAGCAAAGGACATAACCTTGTATGAGTTTGCTGAGGACCTATGCTTTACAGGGAGCTGAGTGGCAGAAGAATCGGAACTAATGTGATCTTTTAGCATCCAAACAAAGATAAATATTTACCTTATTTTCCTTTTCCTTGGCATCATCTGTTTCTTTCTTCTCCTCCTCTGCCCACTCAAGCCAGACGTTCCGAAATGAAGGCGGAAGCAGCTGGTGCACAGGCTGAGATAAGAAGATATGGGAGATTAAACAAGCATGAAAATATAAAAAGGTCAAATAATCATCTAAATAATTATCAGCCCTACAGGGATCAATGCTCTGCACACCTTTAGTTAATTTTTAAATTAAAAAAGAAAAATTTATATTTCCTTCCCATTTTCAGTCTTGTCTTGTCTTGTCCACAATTGCCTCACAGCGTAGTGGGGAGTCGCAGTTTTCTATCCTGGGCCAGGTGTGTTGCACGTGTTGTTGTTAGTCCGTGTTGCCTCAGGATCTCTGATATATTGTCTATCCATCGTACTCTCGGTCTGCCTCTTGCTCTAGGGCAGTAGTGCTGTTCGTTGTATGCTCGTAGAGGCAGTTGGTCGGTTTGCATTCGCATCAATTGGCCAAACCACTCTATTTGTTGCTTCTTTATGTATTGCAGGCATGGTGTGGTTCCTACAATTGCTCTAATGTTCTCGTTTCGAACTCTGTCTCTCCTTGTGACATTGGCAGCCTTACGTAAGCATCTCATTTCGCACGTCGTAATCTTTTTCTCCTGTGCTCTTGTTAGGGACCAGGTTTGGCATTGGTAGCAGAGGGTTGGTATAAACATGCAATTTATCAGTTGTTGTTTTAGTGCCATAGTGATGCTTGGGTGTTTTAGCAGTGGGGAGAGTTGGTAAGTTACTGCGTTCGCCTTTTGACATCTTGCCTCAAGTTTCCTATCAATTCTTCCATCATCTGTGAAGATGCTCCCCAAGTATTTAAATTGCTGCACTTGTTTGAGTTGTTCGTTGTTAACTTGAATAGTTAGTATATTAGGTGTTCTACTTATTTTCAGAACTTCTGTTTTGGTGATGCTGATCTTCATGTTATATTCGTTGCAGACTGTGTGTAGCGCATTTACGTGGATTTGAAGTTCTTTTTCGTCTGCAAAAAGTATTTCGTTCAGTTGAGGATGTACTTTTTCAGGATCGGCGTGTATGTTTTCATTATAATGATCTCTTTCAACTAACTCTGTCTCACTGCTTGGTGTAGTTAACAGTTCGCTTATCATTACATGGTTTGCTGCTGTTGTTATTCTGTCCATGTATATATTGAATAGTAGTGGTGATAGTACACAACCCTGTCTTACTCCTGTTCTTAGTATGAATTCGTCTGTCACACCAACATTTGTTCTAACTACGCTTGAGCTTGTTTGGTACAGAGATCTGATGTTGTCCAGTAGCTGACCTTGAACTCCATAGTCGTTTTCAGTATCTTCTTTATTTTTCCTTTTGTAGTAGATCGTTCTTTCACCATTTTTCACATTCCCAGTTCTACATTACTTGTCCAGCAGCTTATGATTCTCTTGTATTGTCTGGCTTTGCTAAAAATATCAATTGTATTTCTATACTCCCTTCGTTTCCCTCCACTGAGCTTTCTAATAATATTTTGTTCTGTATATAGTTACTTTTCATCTCTGTGTTTATACCGGAGCCCCATTTTTGGGGTTAAAAAATGATCCTACTGTATAAAAGAACTGCTGAAATTGGATGTGTTGGGCTGAAAGGTACAGACAATGCAGCCTAGCTGAAAATCAGAACACAACGTGCCAACTACCCACAAAACTTAATTCTGGTAGAGAATTCATTATATCAACAAGGCCTATTGCTTGTCTACTCTTTCCATTTGCCTTATCTGCAAACCTTATTAGCTTGCTGATTTCCTTTCACACCTGCATACCCTAGATGCTGATCTTTGTAAGCTATGACTGACTCCAAGATTCCAAACACTGCCTTTGGGCAGAGCCAATCTTTTATCCTCTTGATAGTATATATTCCTTCTAGATTTATTACAATCACTACGGTTAGAAATGTAGATGTCATTCGAGCCCATTTAGCTGCTGTTGATAATGTTTACTATTACTTGTTAAAAAGATGTAGGAATGAAATGATGTAACAGGCCTGTGTGCCCAGTTCCTAAACCATTTGAAAATACAGTTTGCTTGTCTATTTGGTACATTGCGTATGCTCATTTATAGCATGTATACAAGCATGTATACAAGAAGAAGAAAAATCTCAAAAGTCACGTTTGTAAAAACATAACAACCTACCTGACCCCTACACAAGTGATATAAGGCCAGAGTTGATGCTAGATGCTCAGCCTCCTTGATATTCTCACAGAGAATGGAAGGTGTTACCTCTAACTTTCCATCCTTCTGTCTATCAACAATAGCACTGGAACAAACAAACAAAATTACAAGAAAAACAAATTAGCATCATAGCCCTTTTTTCATTGTTCCTCAGAGTGGCATAATTGAACTGTGCCCATTTACAGCATAGCTGTGATATTTGCACCTTTCAGCTGAAACATTCAACATCAACTAGTATTTGTTTACTGTGTTAGCCTTCTTGATCAGTTTGGAGGGACAGTGTAGGACACTTCAGCCTCATTTGTGTGGTGACTGCTTCTTCTTCTTTTTAGTTGCTTGTACGAGATACTTTTTAGTGAAGCAGTGGGTCTATTCATTTAAACATACATGCGGAAGCCATTACGGTTAGTTTCGATGGACACTGTACTTCACAACATTTGCATGGTGACTTATTCATCCTTATGTTAGCTGTGTATCCATTATAAGATGCTGAAGAACCAACCCCAACATTTATGGCTGTCTGTGATTTTAATAGGCAATCTACATTCAGTAGTTTAACCTCAGATCTGTAATATGAGCCTTCCACTTATCACAGGTTTCATCCTTTATGCAATGCCAACGAGGTAATGACACAAATAAAAGAAATGTTAAAATCTGCTAAAATGACAGATTCACCAAGATAATGAAACAAATAAAAATATACATATCTGGAAAGTTAACCCGGTCAACAAATGCTCGATGAAGTCTGATGAGTCGGGAAAAAGGCACAAATATTGTAGCTTTTCTGTGAACAGGCATAACGTAATTACATCACTCAGGCGAATGAAAAGAAGAAAAGAAATACACATATAGCTCATACACTCAGAGGTTTTTCTCTATCAGCACTACATACTTACGTGCATTTAAATCGATTGAACTTGACCTGGTGCTTCTGAAACTTTGGTGGACCACTTCTTGAGAGATGCTTGCGTACCCAGTCAATAAGAAACTGTTTTGGTGATTTGCCCGTCCACTGAGATCTAGTATACTCAAATGAGCGCACATCATCTTGCACTTTCACCACTGAATGAAGATTATTGCAAGCAAAAGCTAGTTTACAAAATGTGAATACAGAAATATTTATCTGTATAGTATAATGAAGTTTACCAGAACTTTAAAAAAACTAGAAGACATCAACATGGATGCTTCTGCCCTGTACTTCAGTTAAGTGATTTTGTGTATTCTTGAGGTTTTATTTGATTTATGAATGTGCTGATGAAGGCTCTATAGCTGCAACGTTCATGTTTAGTTTGTGTTTATTATACTGTGAAGCTCGCTGATCTACTTTTTGCTCAGTTATATATCTTTCCCAAGAAATTAGAAAGAGCACAGTCATCATCAAGTTCCTTGTCGACTGGCGTGGGTGCTCATGATTTTCCACATCGTGCAATCTCCAACAGCATGAATCAGATCATGTGCTATCACCCCATTATAACAAAACAAAAGGCTGCCAAGGATCTTTTGGGTCATCTTCCTCTAACTCTCTCCCCACAAATCCTTCCAGTGGTCACAAAATGTTCCTGTTCCCTCTTCTCATATCTTGGCACAAAGGCGATCCTCTACATGTAAGATACCAATTTTTCAAAGCATGTTACTATTACAACATGTCGGAATGTTCTGCTCTCAAACCATCAAGAATGTTTTAGGTGAAGTAATGACAACTGGTGTAATGATGACCACATCATCAATCAAGTGCCAGCTGGACTATAAAATTATGCGTCAGAATGATATGCTCAAGAAAGAAATACTGATATACTAAAAGATCTGAACATCAAGGAAGACTGAGTGGTAAACAGCATGTTATCTAAGAAACTGAAACATCTTCGCCAAATCAAGCGCTACGGCTGATTGAAAAAAAAATTATAGCAGAAGACATGGCAAACATGAAAGAGGGGCAGAGGCTATGCAGAACAAAGATGGGCAGAGGATATAAGTGATACTTTGGGTAGGAAAGTGCACAATGGGGGGGGAGCTGGTGAGAGACTGAGTTTCTTTGAAGCAGACCGTAATGAGAGTGATGTTCTGTAAAGGACCTTCTAAAGGATGACGACCATTTACCCAGTACGCTTCAAATCCAGAAAACAGGCCCTTTGCTTACCTGCAACATACGAAAGTACAGTTCTGGTCTTAGCAATCATAACAAAACAAGTTCTTCTTCTGTGTTTGCCCTTAAAACGGCAGTTGGCACACTGTGTCATGGTTTAAAGCTAGTCTGTGATACATGCCCCTTTTGGTATAAACATACCTGATTTCAGCAACCATGATCAAAATGCATGGATTTTTACTACCCCTGCTGCTAGGGCCTTATTTAGGCATGTGGAACATGTCTAGCCGCACAGGCAGAAATTAATAGCTATTAGTAACGGGACTAACTAAACTGGAGGTTTCTAGGAAATAATTTTGTATTTGTGCTATTCTTCTTTGTGCTCATCGGCTGTAAACTCAGGCAGAAAGTTCTAGGTTTTTGTCCACCTCAAGACATTAGTTTTGTTCCAGAATCTGAGTGATGCGTGTATATTCCTTTTACAGATAGGGCTTATTTGTATGTAGACTCTTGGTTCCTTGCCTCAGGCAAGTATCCCCAATCAGTCTACTCCTATGACATGGGGAGGCAGTGGGTCTATTCTTGTTTTCCCCACAATGGGTTCCTGGTACCCACATGAGAGTATATGTAATGATTATTTTTTGTGTGTTTATAATATACTTTTGTCTTCAAAATATGTATACATTTTTTAACTTGCACAATTCGTCTTCTTCTTCACTTTCACCGGCTGTAAACTCCAGCGGAAAGTTCTAGCTGTTCATCCACTTTTGAATTCTAGTCCTGTCCCAAAAATTGAGTGTTGTGTGCACATCCGTTTTACACGTCTGACGACAAATGCATGCAGACTGTTGACTCCCTGCCTCTCAGGCAGATGTACTCTGACTTTGGAGGAAGCTCCAAATTAGTCGACTCTTATGACATGCTTTTGGGCAGGCAGTGGGTCTATTCTTGTGTTCCCACAAAGGGGCCCCGGAATCCACACGGGGAAGTACTTGCACAATTGTTTTATCTGTTATGTATTCAGTTAGGTTTAAACACATCAACACAATTTAAAAAGAAAGTAAATAATTCCACAACTTAGTGTTGGTTGTCTCTAAAAGAACAGCGATACTGAAGTTTAGATGAGGGAAGAAGAGGTGTAAAATAAATGACAGCACAGCATCCTAAATACAGGCTTCTGACTTTGGATACATTCTGCACATCATCTAAGAAAATTACCTTCCTGCATGGATTCCGGGGCCCCACCTCTGGGGTGGTGGGTGGTGGGGTGGCATACCCAGTACATGTTATAAAAGGCGACCAATCAGGGGTTTTTCCTTTGAAGTTGGAGTGTATCAAATAGTCTGCATATAAGTAAAGCAAAGTGTACACTAAACTCCAGTTCTGAAACAAGACCATAGTCCAGAAGTGGACGAACAATCAAAACTGTCCCCTGGAGTTCAAGCATGTGAACACAAAGAAGAAGTAGAAGAAAATTACCAACTGAAGTTTCTGCAGGACTCTGTTTTCCGGCTTCTTCTAAAATGTTTAATCCCAAGTCACCATCCTTGTCATCCGTCTGTGCTGCTGCAACAGTTTGTTTGGCCACAGCTTCCACTTTGTTCTGTTTCGCCGAGTGGTTTGATGAAGATGCTCTAAGCTCTGCTTTCACTGACTGGTTAAACTCTGGATGCTGCTCTAGAGAATTCATTTCTGAAAAACAAACAGTAGGTAAACTATTTATTTCCAATATAATTTCAACGTTCCCTTTCTCCACTTCTGTCTCTCTCTCTAACCCTCTCATTCTCTAGCCTTCCCCTTTCTCTTTTGAGCTCCTCTTTATCTCTAGATTCTTCCTTTCTTTCTAGCCCTCAGCAAGTCTCTCTTGAGCTCTTTATCTCTTTCTTTCTCTCTAGCCCTCTGTGTGTATTTCTTAAGCTCCTCTCTGTCTTTTCCTTTCTCTCTAGCCCTCGGCACGTCTCTCTTGAGCTTCTCTTGATCTCTTCCTTTCTCTCTGGCCCTAAGTGTTTCTTTCTTGAGCTCCTCTCCATCTCTTCTATTCTCTCTAGCTCTCAGTATGTCTCTCTTGAGCTATTCTTTACCTCTTTCTTTCTCTCTAGCCTCAGAGTTTCTCTCTTGAGGTCCTCTTCATCTCTAGCTCTTTCTTTCCCTCTAGCCTCTCTCTATATCTAGTGATTCTTTCAGATCCTTCCCTCTTTCTAATTTTAGACCCCCCTCTACTCAGACCTCACTCCATCTCTTCTCTTCTTAGCCCTACTCAAATAATCCCTCTTTCTAGTTCTACCTCCCTCTTTCAAGCACCACCTCCCTTTCTCTCTAACTGTACCTCCCTCCTTCTCTCTAGCCCTCCTTATTTCTTATCCACAGATTTCTTTCTAACCGATCACACACACTCTCTAATTTACTCCTCTCACTCTGCCCCTCTCCTTCAAGCACTCCAGTTCTGTCTAAGGCAGCATCTCCCTAGGTAACATCTCAAAACAAGTGAAATAAAAAATGTAAAATTGCTTGCCTCCCCTTTTTCAATTTCTCTCAAATATAGATAACTAACCAGTAAAAGAGAAAAAAACAAAAAACTTTATAATATCCCTCAAATGTAGATAACTAACTAGTATAAGAATCTTTGAAAAAAAAAATCTTTCGCCATCTCTCAAATCTCTCTAACGACGATTATAATTAAAAAAAAATATTACTTCTTTGCACATCTTTCAAATGTAGATAACTAATTAGTATTAGAATTTAAAAAAAACCTGCAACCTCTGTCAAATGTACATAACTAATAGGTATTAGAATCTTAAAAAAGAACACTTTAGCATTCTTACGGCATCTAATTCAAGATAATTTAAGTACAAAAAAAAATAATTTAAAAAAAAAACATTCATTCAGTATCTGTCAAATGAAGACATAGAGAAGAAGGAAAATAGAACATTTTGTGACCACTGGGAAGATCTGTGGAAGGAGGGATGAGGAACATAGAGAAGAAGGAAAATAGAACATTTTGTGACCACTGGGAAGATCTGTGGAAGGAGGGATGAGGAAGACAACGAGAGAAGATTCTTGACAGTCTTGTTGCATGGCATGGAGGTGTGTCGGCACACGAACTGATACATGCTGCAGGAGATCGTGGATTATGGAGAGGCATGATCGTCCACGCCAGTCAGCAAGGCACCTGATGATGATGATGATGTAGACGTCTTACCAGCATTGAAATTTAAACAAAACAATATTCCTTCAACATCTATCAAACACCGATAACTAACCAGCATTAAAATTTACAACAACAACAAAAAACTGTTTACAAAAAGTACAAAGTAGTAGATCACTGATGAGCACTGGAATTTGAGAAAATCAAAATACTATTGCAACAATGATGTGCAATTTTAGACTACTTCTGTAATAGTTACCTAAATGTAATGCCTTCAATTGTTTGGATATCTGTTTATGTTGTTCTGCTGCACCAGTGCTCTTTGCTATAGCAGCCTGATCTTTCAAATGTTGCATCTGACCAAACAATTCTGCATACTGCGATGTCTATAAAAGAAATAAAAAACATTTTAAAAAAACGAGAAATATGAAATAAAATTGAAGAAGCAGGAAAGAGATAAACAAAAGACAAAGGTGCAAACCGCATACATAGCCTGCTGCAAATATGCATAACTTTCACTTTTTACCTCTTAATGTTCCCTTGTGGGTTCGGAGCTCTGTTTTTTGGGGGAAAAAGAGTAGAAAAATTGCTACCTAAAAGCAATTTGTAAAAAGTGACTAGCTTCTTGTAAAACCCAAATTCTGGAACCAGAGCAAAGTCTGGAAGTGGATAAACGAATAGAACTTTATGCAGGAGTTTACAGCTGGTAAAGGCTAAGAAGAAAATCTCCTAACATTGAATTGGTCAACAACCACTTCATGACAAGCTCTTTGGAGACTTATTTATGATTTCTTGAATTCTTCAAGCAAAGTTATCTAGTCTCTGACATGAGCAGTCCCATGTCAACACTCCTTAGTTGGCTCTTATGACATGCATTGTAGGTTAGTGTTATTTATCTTTGCTTCTTTTGCCAGTCTGCCTCTGTGGCTTAAGCACTGTGAATGTGCTTTGTAATTCAGAGGTTTGAACCCAGCTGTGGGCAATTTGGCAGCGGACTGCCTTGTGTTGGTCTCAAGAGCCGACCGTTTAGAAAGCAATGGCCAACTACTGGGGGAATAAATGGCACAAGAAGAAGAATAATGTTGCATTGTTATTCATCTTTGATTCTTTGGGAGTCTCCACAACTGGTTACTGTTCTCCTCAGTGTCTCCATGCTCAGTGTACCAAGTAGGAATTGACTGGCACATCTTCTTTCTTGTCCCTTGCAAAAGGTATCTTTTCTCCGTTTCTCCTCAGCATCACCGTGCTCACTGTACCCAGTGGGAGGTGATGGAAAACTTTCTTTGCTTGGCTTTTCTTATTAGCCCGAACAAGTCCCAGACATCGCCATTTGATTAATGTTATCTTTCATTGTGAGTAGCATAGTAAGCAAGTGGCCAGATGCTGGTTTACCAGAACAAAGGTCTCAGGCTTGAATCTGATTAAGCATGAATTTTTTTTAAATATAAAAAAAATGACCTATGCTCTCAAGCGGACCAAAGCCTAGAAATGGGTCCCAGGTAAGGTACTGACGTCCGGCGTGATGCTGAGCACATCATCCATCAAGTGCCGACTGGTCTATAAAAGTCATATCATATGCCAGATGAATCACTGGCAGGAAAGAGTACTTTACTTTTACTTCACTTTAAAAAATATTTTTTTATTTTATTGGGGTGAGACAGCCAGTCTTATACTAACCCTCTGTAGTTACTTCTTTCACCCGGAAAGTTCCAGTATTCTATTTTTTCTTTCCTAATCCTCATTGGTGCTGGTAACTCACAAACACTGTTACATGATTACCTTTATCTTTCATTACTCAATGGACTGTGAGCCACAGTAGCTAGATTCTCACCTGCCAGCCCAAAGGTCTTGGATTCAAATTCGCATTGATTCTTTTTATTTTTTTCCTTCCTTATCGGTTCTCAGGTCAACCTAGCCTAAAATGAGTACCAGGTTACCCTGTGTGGGTTCCGGGGCCCATTGTGGGGAAAATAAGAATAGACCCACTGCCTACCCAAAAGCATGTCGTATGAGTCGACTAATTGGGGAGCTTCCTTTGAAGTCGGTGTGCATCTGCCTGAGGTGCAAGGAACTAACAGTCTGCATTCAAGTTAATTAGATCTGTAAAACTGATGCACACACAACACTCAGGTTTTGGAGCAGGACTGCAGTTCAGAAGTGTACAAATAACCAGAACTTTCCGCCAGAGTGTACAGCTGGTGAACGTGAAGAAGAAAGAAAGAAGTACCAGGTAGTTACTGGGAGGTCATTGCAGAAATCATGAATTTGATCATACCACCAATTGGAGCGCTGATTCGTCTAGACAAAAATGAGTTTAGTATCATAAGCTCGATGTGTGCGCCACTGGAGTAAACATGGCTTTTCACTCACCGGATTAAACACAACCTCTTCCTCTTGCTTGTCCTCTTCTTCCTCCTCTTCACTTGAGCTGTTTTCAGCATACTGAAGAATCCAGTCTTTCATGGATGCTCCTTGTTTCTTGATCTCTTGTGCTGGCTTCTGCATTAGCAACACACACAAAATTAATTAGTGCTCACAGAACAGAGGCATTACAGGTGCTGGAACCTGAGGACTCAGGTCTCCTAAGCCCAAACTCATATCCATACAAATTTTCTCATGGGGCACGCAACCCTTCCAGTAATTTTGAATAGGGACTAAGAGGTTCCCTTTAACCGTGGCTAGATATTTTCTTTAAAAGTATTTATTTCAACATTTCATAACATCATTATCATCATCCCATAACACTACATGTCGTTGGGTCACCAGTTTCTGTTGACTGTCTCATCAGCTCTCTCCCCCTTTGGTCGTCAGTTGCGATGGACTTTATGGTTTTATGCCTAAGGCTTGTCCAGTCAGTCAGGTTTTGTAACCAGGTCTGCATCTTCTCCTCTTTCCTTTTACTGAGCCCTGCAGTATTGTTCATATAATTTCACATATTTTTACATTCATTTGCAATTCAGTGTATTAATAATAAAAATTATAACAGTAATGTGAATAGCAAATAAATATAACAATAAACTTCAAATAATACAAAATGTATGAACAGATACTTTGAAAGTTAATTTCTATACATAGTTAAAGGGGACATTTTGGCGAGAAGCAAAATTATTAGGCAGAAAGCAGGAAAAAGGTGGAAGGGAAGAGTTTATTTCCCGCTCACTTAAATTATTGTATTGGGAGGGGGGGGGGGGGGGGGCTTCAGGACATGAGGCCCCATCAACCAATTCTTTGCCTAGAAAATGTGTAAGATGGTGAGGAGGGCCTACTAGGGGAGGGGGGATGGGGGGGGGGGGGGAGTAAAGAAGCATGACGTCAAGGATGTCAATATTATTGCTTATATTATTGTTCAACTTGCCAGGAAGTAACTCTAGTAGCAACACTTGGTGTGCTAAGGCAGGATGTCTCAGCGGAGAAACAAATATATTAAATCTATGTTCTAAACAGGCACAATAAATCTACTGAAGATAACGAAGAAGAAGAGGAGCAGCGAGCAGAAGATCAATAAGAGAAGAAGACAAATGAAAAATAATATGAGGACGAAGTAAAAGTAGGAGGAACAGAAGATGGAGAAGGAGTAGGATCAGGAGGAGGTAGTAGAAGTAAAATGGGGATAAACAAGTGTGGGGGGGGGGGGGGGTGCAAGCTATACCAATTGATTTTTTTATGTAATGAAGTTATTTCGGTGTCAGGCATGGGAGAAAGTTAAGGCCATTGTGTTGTGTATAAGAGGAGGCCCCATGCCTCAACTGTGACTTTGGCAGGCTTTGTCTTGGTTTTATCAGACTGCTGCCAAACACTGTCATTTGTCGTGGGTAATGGAGAATAACAGCCAAATACTGGCTTACTACATGTGGTAACTTTTAAAACACTACTTTGCAAACAAACCAAACATATACCTGGACAGTTTTCTCAACTGTCTTAATAGTTGAAGGTTTAGCTTTGGCATCGACTTGAAGTGACGGATCAAACTTTGGCCGGCGTTTTTCTTCTTCATGATACAGTGTTTCTGAGAAGCCAGTTGGCAGCTGATCTAAGTATTTACAAAAATAAAACCTAATTGTTAGTTACTACACACTACCAATCTTGGAATTTTTAACTCTCTGTCAAATGTGTACTGCAATAAAGAATAGAAACACTGAGAATTACTGAAACTAACAACCTTCAACATTCATTAACTCTTTCAGTCCCAAACAACACATGATGTGCCACTGAATACCTTCCATATGTTTCAAACATCACATCAACTGTCTTCTTGTACTTTAGTTTTGGTCAGTGTATACTAAATAAATCTGGCAACCAGGGATATCCTTCATTATTTTTCTATTCCTACAGCGCAGGCATAGTGAGCTTTCATGGCAATATTTAATGAAAAATAAATTATTAAGGCAGCAAAGGAATTAACTGGTAAATGTGCAGAACAGAGGTCATTAAAGGGTAAGACAAAAATCACTAACGTGGAGCTCTGAGAGAGAACAAAATCCAGCAAATCAAGAGGTGAGAAAAAGATGACACCATATAAGAAACACACAAAGAAAACCTGATAATAATTAAAAATAAAACCCATTCATTGAAACGTACAGGGTCAATGAGATGCATGGAAACCTAAAGACACATGAAGAAAAGAATTTTAGACAGGGAAGGAGGTAGAGGCATGAAGTGAGCAAAAGATGACAAAGAATAAGAAAATGGTGAAAAGATGGTGGTGGTATTTATTGTGAGAGTCCCTCACAAACCCACCATTCTGAGTGTTGAGACACAGCCAGTCTAAGGCATCTATCAGATCACCACCACACATGACAGTGTTGGACATGGCAGCTTCCACTTGGTTCTTAGAGAAACCTGCAGCTGACAGGCTATTGTAGACATCCTATTCAAACGGGAAACAACAAATAAATTGACAACAAGAATACAAAATGAAGTCATAATTCAAACTATGACGTCCTGTTCCATCCATCTTGGTTATATCCTTCATCTTCTTCACGTTCACTGGCTGTAAACTTCGGCAGAAAGTTCTAGTTGTTCATCCACCTCTGGACTTTAGACTTGTTTCAGAACCTGTGAGTTGAGTGCACATTTGTTTTACAGGTCTGACTTATTTGTATGCAGACTGTTGGTTCCTTGCCTCTCAGGCAGATGCACTTCAACTTCAAAGAAAACGTATAATTAGTTGACTCTTACTACATGCTTGTTGGGAGGCAGTAGGTCTATTCTTGTTTTCCCCACTATGGGGCCCTGGAACCCACACATGGAATCTAGGTTATAATTGGGATATATAGTTTTTTTCCCTTTTATTTCAGTGTTCTAAATGAATTCTCCAATATCAGAGCCAACAACAGAATACTAAATCAAGCTTTCTTCTTCTGTGTTCCCCACCACCAAACAGTCCACTGACACACTGTGTTGTGGTTTAAAGCTGGGCTATAATACCTGCACCTTTCGGCCCTATACATCCGATTTCAGCAAACCTCCAATCAGACGCCTTATACATCATGCTTGTTATGCAAGCAGTGAGTCTATCCTTTTTCCCTTCAAAATGGAGCCCCAGAGCCAATAGGAGGAACTTAATGAAACATTCTCTCTCATTCAGTGAATAAGGAATTGACATCACAGCACTCCGGACACCCCCATAAGGGCTTCGCTCAGCAGCAAGCTAAGAGTTCCAATTCCGATGATACCAATAACTGTCTGTTTGTATAACCGTCTCTCCCTTTCCTTGTCCTAGTAACTCCCCACAGCAGCATTCTCCTCAGACTGCAATAATCTATTTGTGCCTCCGCAGTGTTCACTCGCTCCCAAAGGGCCCTCACAATATCTAGCTTGTCATATGTTGAAATACATCGTGTTTGTTTCTTCTTTAAGGGTGACCGTTAACTTCCTGCAATGAAATAATATTTTCTATGGATTTTGTACTCAATAACATTCTCTCTCATATGTTGAAGTACACTGTGTATGTTTCATCGTTCATTTTTAAATGCTATTGCATAATAACATATACTCAGGATATAAAGTCAATAATGTGCATTTAAGTTAATCTCATAAGATCAGAGGAAATAAATAAAACTTATTAGTACTTACTGTTAATTTTTTGGCAGTTATTCTTTTAGAGATATCACCAAGAACTCTGTTGGCTTTTTTGTTCTCTAAAATTATCTCAGTCAGTGCCTGCTCCAGTCTATCTGGCAACTGAACCTATGTAAGAGACAAAGCAACCTTTTTAAATTTCATTATGAGAAAATCATTGTATGTCTTTGTTGTCTGATTTTCAACCCCCAGAGGAGCTTATCTCATTAATATTTGCAAAAGCCTACACACACGTAGAAAATGCTGCATAAGATCGCAGGCAGGATTATCAAGAACTTTTATAGTGAATTCTGGAGTGAGTCAGAGCTGTGTACTATCGCCACTGCTTTTTATCACATACATGGATACTTTATGTAAGGAAACAAACTTAAATCATGAAGAAGATATTACAGACTTACTATTCGCAGATGACCAGGTACTCACAGCAGAAAGTACGGAATGCCTACAGAACCACCCAAATCAAATTAATAACAAAGGGGAAGAATATAATATGAGAATAAACACTACGAAGACAGAGATAATGGTCACAGGAAGACAGACAGACAATTTAGAAATAAAATTAAAAAGCAACACCTTAAGAGAAACAGAGATATTCAAGTATTTTGGTGCAATTTTCTCAAAACTGGACAGAGAAATCAGCTCAAGATGTACCAAAGCTAATTAAGTATTGGGGCAACTATCTCCCCTGCTGACACAAAATCAGATACCCTGGAGTACAACACTGAATCTTATCATAACTATTTTTTGGCCAACATTAATGCTTTCAGTGTCAAACGTTGACATTTACGTCCTCTAATGAACGTAAAATCATGAAAGCAGAGATAAAATGCCTTAGAAGAGCTAAATGAGTTTCAAGGAAGGACAGAATACAAAATCAGACAAATGCTAGGAATAAAGTGAGTCTTACAGGTCATCAGAGAACAACAAATGAAGTAGTTTGGACATCTAACAAGAATGCCCAGGTACTATCTACCACAGCAAGCCCCACTGCAACGTTACAATGGGTATAGAGTGAGAAGAAAACCTCATAAAAAATTGAATGATGTCATATAGAAACAGCCTTACAGAAATGAACATCAATCTTAATAATGCTCTTGATAGAGCTCATCAACGAACATTACATCTCCCCCCGACACTTCCCTGAGGTACAAGGTGGAAGAGAAGAACAGGAGGGGATGCAGAGGTGCTCAATCACATTTGGTAGTGCAGCAGGACTAGGAATAGTACTGGTCTTCTTCTTCTTAGCATTCACCAGCTGTCAGCTCCAGCAGAACATGCAGGTTGTTTGTCCCCTTCTGGTCGTTAGTCTAGTTCCAGAACTTGAGTTTTGCATGCAAAATCAGCTTTACATGCATGGCTAATATGTATGCAGACTCCTCATGCAGATGCACTCTGACGTAAAAGGAAAACCCCTAATTAGTTGACTTCTGTGGTATGTTTCTTGGGGAGTAGTGGGTCTATTCTTTCCCTTCTATTCCTTTTGGAACCCACAAGGAGAAGATATAATTTAATCCAATCTCTGCTATAAAGTTTTTAATTTAAGTAATAAATGTGTTTTGAGACAGAAAGAGTTAAAGTAATAAATGTAACAATGTGATTTAGTGAAGCAACTGGGTGTGGTATGAAGCTTTCTGATTAACCTTTTTGCCCTGACAAGCCAAACAACTGACAATAATTTTCTGTCTTGCTTACAGTTTATTAAACAGATAGTTAATGTTATTGGCTGAGATCATGCCTGCGCAACCTTAAGGAGGTCAGGATAAGAATACATTAACAACAGAAATTGGGGATCCCTTGAGGTAAACTGCTGTTACAAAGCCGTTGATGTCAGATGATTTCGTAAGCCTCAGTGACAGAGGTCCTGTGGTCACAGCATGGGTCACCTGATACATGTGTGTTTTTAGGACCCTGGGGATGTATTCCAACTAATGCTTGACCCTGTTCATGTATACTGATTACTCTTGTCATTTATCTTTATTTATATATACACTCACCCCCCACCCACCCATCCCCGCCCCCACACACACACACAAACAGACAGACGGACGGACACCACGCACGCACACACACATATATATACATATATATATATATATACATATATATATATATACATTTAAATGTAGATTAAATACTTTAACAAAAATTTTTTTTTCAATTAGCAACCTCTGGAAAAAACATTTTTGTTTTTACTAATTTTTCAGGAATTCCAAACAGGGTCATTACCTATTTTTTTTTAATCCAGGGATGAAAGGGTTAAAGTATAATGTCAGTAGAACCCAAAACACAATAAGTTGCTTGCTATTAAATGTGCTGAAACTCAATGATTCAGAGAATTTTACAATCAATGATTGACTGACCTTTGGTAAATTTGCTGTGTCATCAGTTTCTGCTTCCTTTTTGTCAAGAGAGTAAGTCTTCTTACCTGAAGATAATAAAGTGATAATCATCAAAGTTATGAAATAAAAAGTTTATTGATTTTACCAAAGGTATTTTGCAATGCATAATGCCATATGACCAATAAGCTGTGGGGGAAATGAGCATGCTGTAATTGGCATATTTTCGCCTGGGACTCACAGCCTATGGTGTGACTAGCAAGACCCCCCTGTGTTAAGAAAAGTCTTCCCCAGGTAGTTATTTTCCAGACCAGTTAAGGCAAGGATGAAGTTTCTCCTCTCCATAGCGCAAAGCCTGGGCAGTATTGTAGAGACCATATTTTGCCCATGCATCATGATCCCTCCCTTGTCCTGTCTTGTTGTTGACTTCACAGGAATGGTAAGATCAGTACATCTGGAGTATATAAACTAGGTCTGGCATATTGTGCAGACTTAAAAATTCTTCTTCTTCTTCAGCATTCTCAGCCCTTGAGGTTCACAAATGCAGATATCACTCGCCTCAGTTCATCTCTCTGACTAGCATTCTATTTCCACTTGGTGACACCGGGTGTCTGAGGTCTGCCTGGATATTATCTCTCTACCATCTTTTTAGTCTTAATTCAACCTTTTGGTGTAAGCAATCTTTGTCTCTATGTTATCTCCCATTCTGTTTGGATGTCCAGACAGTATATTAGCCTTCACGTCAGTGGTGTAAGGGGGAAGGGCGGGTGCTCTAGGTGTCATCACTGAGGGAAGTGACAAAATGGCAAAAATATGGCCACCACCTGGCCTTGCTACGCCACTGCCTCACATACCAGTAATTGGTGGTGATTTAAACAGATTATGAATTTCATTGTTGTTTCTCACTTTTTATTTTCCGCTGTTTGCGTCTTCGATGGGTCCGACGATTCATTGTAAGTCTATTCTCAAAAGTTTGTAATAATCTCATCTCTCTCATTTTTTTTCAAATTGCGTAATGAAAAAAGGGAGAGTGCTGTCAAATGTCAGGCTTCACTAGCAGGGGCATAAGTTTGCCAGATGTCATCTATTTTCAAGTTTGGTTCTGATAACATGCCCATCAAGTCCTGACCTGTCTATGTCTAATTTATCAATCAGTTTGTGGGTTTTGAATCAAAACCCAACCACATGCTGACAACACCTTACAGTGATTTCTGTTCACTGTTGTGTCAAAACATAAAAACATGCTTACAACACCTTACAGTGATTTTAGTTCACTGTTATATAAAAATACTAACAGAAGTTTACAACACCTTAAAGTGATTTTAGTTCACTGTTATATCAAAACACTGCCATAATATATTCCGACTCAGTAAATTTCACTGCAACAGAAATGTTGAGAAACATAAAATAACTTGAAAAAAAAAATAAACAATAGAAAGAAGACAGCGTTCATGACTTACCTTTAACTTCTCCCTTCCCTTGGCCTGCCTCCTGTTCTGCAGGAATTTCTGCCTGGCCCTTTTGAATTTTTTTCTTGACCATTGTAGTATTTTAAAGTACTCTCTGATACCTACACACACAGATTAAAAATTATTTCAGAACGAATGAAAAAACCAAACCTTTTTCCCATTCTCGCTTTTTCCTCCTCAACTCCCCCCCCCTCTCTCTCTTCCCTTCTCTCTCTCTCTCTCTCTCTGTTTATGTGTGTGTTTTGGGGTCTTTCGACAACAAACTTTTCAAATATCTACAGGAGCAACCAGTAGATGAAACTTTTCCGATTCAGGCCTCACTCAGTCCAGATGAAAAAAAAGACCCTTTTAATTAATTCCTGCAACAGGCATACACTATTCAATTCACTATGGGCATATCCAGTGTGGGTTCCGGGGCTCCATTATGGGAAAAACAAGAATAGACCCACTGCCTACCCAAAAGCATGTAGTAAGAGTGGACTAATTGGGGAGCTTCCTTTGAAGTCGGAGTGCATCTGCCTGAGGGCCAGGAACTAACAGTCTGCATTCAAGTGAATCAGATCTGTAAAACTGATGCACACGCAACACTCAGGTTCTGGAGCAGCACTGCAGTTCAGAAGTGGACGAACAACCAGAACTTTCCGCCAGAGTTTACAGCTGGTGAACCCGAAGAAGAAGAAGACTATGGGGACTATGGGCATATAATTAATATTAGGGCTCTACTGGCAAATCCGGACGAAGATTAAAAAGCCTTGGACGACTTAGTCAGAGTTCTCTCCCTTGGTCGCACTCCAAACAGTGATCGGAAAACAAACGAAACAAACGACACACTTACCTATCATCCTGCGGTTGCGTGTAGGGCTGCGTACGGTTGCGTGAGGCATCGTGGCATCATCATATGGTTGCGTGCAGGGATTAGAGTTAGGGGTAGGGTTAGGGTTAGGGGTAGGGTTAGGGTTAGGGGTAGGGGTAGGGGTAGGGTTACGGTTAGGGGTAGGGTTAGGGTTAGATGTGAAAATTGTGACGTAGGATTTCGAAATACTGGCCGACAATATGATGTTTGTGGGAGTGGCGCCACTGACACTCTGCCAAATATGACGCCAATAGCGTGCGGCTGGTGCCCCAAATTGTTGGCGAATTGTGCGTGTGACCAGCATCCAGAGGCCCTCGATTGTTTGTGTGTGTGTGTATGGGACTGTGCGCGATTATAGGGAACTCCGGCGTCAAAATTGTCAAATCTAACGCTAAACCTAACCCTACCGCTAACCCTAATCCTAATCCTACTCCCTAACCCTAACCCCTACCCCCTAACCACGCAAATTTATCGATCATTACAGCATACAAATTGGCAAACACCAACAAACAAAACACACCCAAAAAAAACACACAGAATTGTCCTGCAGCGTCGAAAAAAAAAACAGATCTGGGGGAAACAACCAAGCATTGGCAGCCCTGATGTCGACGTGACTGTCTTCTTTGTTTCGTTGTGGCTTTTCCAATCACTGTTTGGAGTGCGGCGATGGGAGAGAACTCTGACTAAGTCGTCCAAGGCTGTTTATTCTTCGTCCGGATTTGCCAGGAGAGCCAATATTAGGCTAGACATTTTGTTTTGACCAATGCTAATAAATAGTAACTGGATGGTAATGTGGCGACAAACTTGCAACCATGCTACAACTAATAAGTAGGAAATTATAATAACAAGAGCTTACATTTCGCAAGACACAACAGATTTTTGATTTTTTTTGTTTGTTAAGATTGAAAAAAAAAAACATGAAGTGTCATATGAGAAGACTAGACTATGATTGAAATCAGACAGGTAATAAGTAATTAATCATTACTGCTTGCTTTTTATCTGATTCAGTATTTGTGTGTGTGTATGTATGTACTTAGACTGCAAAGCTTTATGTGAATAAATAAATAAAGAAAACAGTCATAATAAACTACATCTCATACCAATACCATGTACAGACAGCGACAGCAGCAGAATTGATAGGACTTTTGTGATTAAACTGCTAGAACTAACCAACTCCTCATCATCACAGTGGACAAATACTAAAAAAGTATCTAGGAATATTGACGAAAGAAAAGACACGCATTATTACAAACATCCTTTTCAACAAACAAAGCAACCAGAATAGTTGAGTTCATTAGGTATAGTCCGACATCATAACACTTATGATATTTCCATAAGCGCTCCGTCCAATCTTCAGCAAACAGCGCTGGTCCAACAGTATTAGTATTACCAGTAGCGTAGCAGTGGCTGTCGTTTGTTTGTTTTGCCTTTCCTCTCAGTTGCCTTTACCAACCGTCATCCCATTGTAGGATGCAATTTTTCGTTATTTTCAAACCCTACTCTGGCTGTTGACAGGAGCCGCAATTTAGCCTAACGGTTGAACGCGGTTTCCGGGACCTCTTCACTGGTGATCCTCATCCGCGTGGTGGCACTTTGTTTCACCAGGTGTTTATCGCTCTGTGTGATGTCCTGGTGGGACATCATTTTCTTACTTACTGTCCTCTGAGTTTCTGCTAGATCCCTAAATATAAAAATTCTTGTTCTTCTTAGTTTTCACCAGCTGTAAACTCCAGCGGAGAGTTTTTGCTGTTCGTTTACTTCTGGACATTGGTCTTAATCCGGAACTTGAGTGTTGCGTGCACATTCGCTTTACCGGTCTTATTTGTATGCAGACTGTTGTTTCCTTGCCTCTCAGTCGCAAGCAGACACCCCCCCCCCCCCCGACTTTTCTGAAAACACCTCTAATTAGTCGTCTTCTACGACATGCTGCCTAGGGTGACAATGGCTCTCTTCTTTGTTCTAAACAATGAAAATCCATTGAAACATAATGCTTTACAATCGAGAGAAATGATTTTGTTGCATCGGGTTTTAGCCCAGGCATGCACTTCTTAGATGCGTCGACGATGGACTGAAATAGTAAGACAAACGAGGCAGCTTTATCGAATAAGGGATGAAACCTGAGAAATTACATGTAATTATTATTATTATTTTACATGTTAGGAGAACAAATACACTTGAAACTCTGTGATAATTGGCAAATGATGGAAAAAGAGCAGAGATAGGACAAAGATATAAATATCTGGATGGCTTGATCAACGCCTTCTCGAGCTGACGAGCCTTGGCGCTAACGACTTCAGCTCGACGTGACGTCACCACCCCGGGCTGACGATATGTTCCATTTTCACTCCATATATATCTACTGATATAAATATGTAGGCATGTGTGCTGCACCGGCAAGCAGGCGGGTGGCAGGTAATGAGTGAATGTATATATGTGTGCAGGTGTGTGTGTATGTGTGTGTGTGTGTGTGTGTGTGTTTAACCACTGCGCGCTTGAGTATGCGTGCGGAATTTTAACAATACAGTGAGATGGTATTTTGGCTACGAGACACCAGTAGCATACACATATCTTCTTGTAGGAAGTCTGCAGTCCGAAACCCAACTTCAAGGTGTCTCCTTCGTGCCAAAGAACTACATGGCTGTTGGGTGAACCGTCGTTAACGAAGGCCGTCAGGTAGTTGTAGGGGCGACGCTTGCTGGTAGATGTATTGTCCTAAGTCCCTTCCCCAGCTAATAGTGAGGGTACTGCTGGGGTGTCCGTTTTGTAACCCTCATGTAATGCTTCAGGTCAAAATGGACGCTAGGCACGGCCACTGGCAAGTGTTTTTGCTTTTCCAGACGGTGGCTGTTGCATTTTTGCACAATCTGTGGACTGGAAGGATATAGTTTCGATGCCCAGCTTAAGAGTTGGGTGCATGGCTTGACACTGTGAGCTGCAGATTTCATTTTGAATGTTTTTCGTGGTGGTGTGAATTGTAGATTCCGAAAATAGCGCAATTCTGGTTGTCGCAATATTGATGGTGCCATTATGTAATTAAAATTGATCGCTTGTGCAACTGCTGATCTGTTGGTGACTTCTTCTAGTCACTAGTACTACCATCCATGATGAACTGCATTTTTAATGACGCACTGTTTGTGTTAGCACTTTGGATGGCTACCGTATGCTTTTAATGCGTGTGTGTGCTAGTGCATACGCTGAGACAGCAGTCTGTCAATCTTTCCACAAGGGACTGTGATAAACATTCCGTGTGTTTTTCGTTGGCACAGGAGCGGAGCAACTATGGGGTGACCCGTTTGCTATGAAGCTGAAACTAAGATTACCAGATTTTCACTCTGACAGTCCCGTTTTTTGGGGTGTGTTCCCTGCTGTTCCGTGAGTACTCCCCCACAAAAAGTATAAGAATAAGCTCGAGAATAGGACACGTATATAGATTTTTACATATATACAAACTAAAATGGAACACTAGAGAAAACATGTTAATATTATTTAATTAGTATGCTTATTCAGGTAATAGGCCTATTTAGTCTTTATGTAATCGGGTGGAAGCGACGAAGACTACATTGCAGCAAATTAAAGATCTTAGATTTATTCTGGTTTGAAAATGGCTAAAAGGCCATCGGAACAACTAATAGAGTTAGACGGAAGATGGGGAAAAATCTGGCTCGTTTGGTATAAAAGATTTTGTTTAGTCTTTAACATCCTAGTTAACGACATGAGGGAGGCGATTAAGAATCCTGAGGTTCAACTATCCCAATTTGCCGATGACAGTGCCCTGTATTATAGTAACACAGGCACTAGAAACACCCGCAACACGCTGCAGAGAGAAATCATCAACATAACAGACTGGATGACGAAATGGGGGTTTAAGATCAACGTGGCCAAGTCGGTCATGATGATCTTTAACCACAAAAGAGTCAGAAGTTATAACCCCGACGAAAGCCGCATCACCATCAACGGCCGCACAGTCCAAAGAAAGCCGCACACGAAGTTCCTCGGCATGGTGCTGGACCAACAGTTGAGCTGGAACAAACACGTAGAGACCACCGCTACACGCTGTAAACAGTACCTCAACATGCCGAGGTTCATCAAAGCCTTCATAAGGGGGAATATAGACTACGGCTCCATAGTCTACGGGGCAGCGAGCCAGAACATACTACAGAAACTAGACGGAGTCCAAGGCCAAGCACTCACCACAATCTTTGGATTGGGGAGAGGGGCCT